GGAAGCCAAATGAGGGGAAACACTGGGGAGCAAGGATGACCCCCTTCGTCTCCCCCTTTGACAGTGTTTCTTCTTCTTCTTCTACCAACAGCCAGACAGTAGCAGCAACCCAAATTCCACCCTTAAATGGCTCAACATCCATCCTGAGACACTTGATTCAAAGTCTCTCCTCGGGTTTTCTGTGGTTCTATAAACACCACAACACTGTGGTAATGCTTTCAGTCCTACAAGAAAGAGGCACAAGGACTGGGATTGCCCAATTCTGACTTTTTAGTAAAATACGCCAATGCAGTCATCTTCTGGCTACAAATATCTATGGGAAGAGTAGATGTGTCCTTTAATAACAGAGAGAATGCTTAAAAAAAGAACATTTTATTGCTGTGTTGCCTTCACCCCAGTAAATTACAGCATTTTCATTTTCCTGTATTTATTGCATTGAAGTGTTTATATCGCTGTGAAGCAAATATTTGCTTTCAAAGGTCAGTCGCATTATCTCTCTTCCTCTGGGGACAGACGTAGGTCTCTCTGAGCCTTCAGTATTACTCCATACAGATTATATAACGTTCTTGCTGAGGGATCCTTTGCTGCATCTTGGCACTACTGAGATAGCAGATGCAGAATTCAAAGCATAATAGACAGTGCCTTTCCATTAGGCAGTCTGTATTTCTCTCTAACATTGTCTGTGGTGCTTCTGTATGAGCCCTGGCATAAGGGACGAGACTGTCTGCAGGGAGTTGGATGTAAATGATCCTGCAGTTGCTTGCATTGTGTAGGAGACACAGAGCGCAGCCTGGAACATGCTGTACACTGTATTTTGTAGCAGGGTTTGGGTTTTTTTCTCCTTTTCAAAGAGCACTGGGGATGTTTGTGTGTGAACCCAGAGGATTTCCTTTTCCGAAATGGAAAAACCAAGGTCCACGTTAAATTTTGAGGCTGAATTTGTATAAGCATTACCAAAAGTACAAACACAAATTGAGTGAATGTAGGGTCTGTAACTTCTGTAGCAACCTTTTTTTTTAAATCAAATTTTTAGATTGAAAGAGCTTAACATAATACATCCTTACTTTGGTTTTCTGATTTGTCATCTCTGCAGGGACCGTAGATAAAATAAAATGCAGTTTAAGTTAAAAGTACTGAGTACGCTTTGGGGAGTTTATTCCAGTTATATTAGAGATTCCTAAGAAAATTGTAGGATTTTGACACTTGGTTCAAATTAACTTCAATGAGAACAGAATGGAAAATATCAACTAGTAACAAAAATAAATTCTGCAAGGAATTTATTACCCTAAGTCCTTAATATTATCTTAGGCCTGTTTCTGTTCTACTTAAAGAAGTGCAGGTTTCAGTGGGCCTGAGCCAGAACTTATGCTTTTGAAAGTCTGTCTAGTATCAGTAAGAGCAAATTCATCATGGCTTAACTTTCCTTGACCATTCCTGCAATTGTCAATTTTCAATGTTTTAAAACATCAGGAGTTTTAAATAACAGCTTTTTATAGGTGTGCGTAAGAAACACTATAGATGGAGAGTTGTTACTTTGTACCTCAGAGCAATAATTCCGTTTAAAACATAATTCTTCTTTTACCAGGATTTTTATTGATAGCAGGGTCTGTTGTTGGAAATTCATGACACTGGAATGGCATTTCAGCCTAAACAGGAGTTTTCAAGGAAACTCCTATCTCTAATCTGTCCTATTCCACATTATAAATTGCAAAATCTGAAAAAAATTTAAACTCATTTCCTGCCATCTACAAAATATATGTAGTTTATCACACTGTGTGCAAATCAGTAACCGTATTGATTCTTGGGCACAGTTTTCTATTAAATAAAGTTGAATCAGCACAGCTGCGGGGCATTTCTGTTTATGACTAAAACTTGATGTAAAATGACTTGTCTGGAAGAATGCTTTTTGCTATTTCTCAATCTGTGCTAAGTGCTTTACAAATACCAAACAATCTCAATAAGCCTGTCAAGTTCGATCACTTGCTGTGCAACATCTCTCTGCTTACAAGCTCTGACACTTTTTTTAGCTTGATGCAAAATAAGACACGTCTGTCACTAAGATGCCAACTGATGGCTCCAACAAACCAAGAAGGGTACCTAAAACAACCCCACAAGAGCATGGAGTGACAGGACAAGGGACGGTGGCTTCAAACTGACAGGTAGTAGGTTTAGATTAAACGTTAGGAAGAAATTCTTGACTCTGAGGATGGTGAGTCACTGGAACAGGTTGTCCAGAGAAGTTGTGGATGCCCCATGCCTGGAAGTGTTCAAGGCCTGGTTCGATGGAGCTCTGAGCAACCTGATCTAGTGAAAGGTGTCCCTGTCCATGGCAGGGGGCTGGTATGAAATGATCTTTAAGGACCTTTCCAACCCAAACCATTCTGTGCTTCTGTAAAAGTCTCTCCACATTTGTTTCCTTTTATTTTTGCACCACCCAGTACCACCACTGGCTCATGATCAAAAAAAAGAAAAAAAAATTGTAAGGAAAACATCAAAAGTCAGGCTGGAATCTACCTGAGAATGGAATTTGCTGTGATTTTTTTTTTTTATCTGCAGAGACTGACCAACAGTCAATAAATAAATTTCTGTTGTCAGTAGAAGCCCTCATGTCACCTCCACTCACAGGTCTGTAATTATTCAGCTCACACTGGATATGCTTAGAAAATGAACCAAATTCCCTGCTAGCATCCCACCCTCTCACTGATGCATCACCTCCCACTTTACAGCTAGTGAGATGATACCAACAGACACAGAGCAGAACCACTTTCCTGCCCATCAACATCTATACGTATTTACCAGTTAGATCAGTCCCAAAGCCCTAAACAAATTGTCCTGATTTAGGCTCAAGCTCAGTGCTACTCCTCTGCCAGCACAAGTGTAGCCAGGGGTCCAGGCAGAGAATATTTTAACCAGATGCTAAAAAACTAGGTCCACAGACTCACTCTTGGTATTCTGGTAGAGAGGCTATGCCAGAAATATTTCTGCTCTGGGTTATGCCTCAATCTGGGGAAAAACCACAATTTGTGAAGCAGTGACCAGTGCTAGAGCCAGTCAAGTGGGACAGGAGTTTGGAGCATGGTTCTTTACCAAAATAACTTCTTTTTATCCTGGCTGAGCATGCTCCATTTGCTGGCCAGGAGCAGTGTTTTCTGGAGCTGAGTGCTGTGAAGGGCACCACCAGCACAGCAGCGGTGTGGGAAGGTTGGGGTGGCCTTGAGAGTATCCCCACACCTTCACATGCCCTTCAGAAGAGACCAGTTCCTGGTTTATCTTTTCCTCCTAAATATCCAAGTGCACCATGCTTTTGTAAAGCTCATTTCCTGCTCTTTGTGAGCATCCTTGAAGTGTCTGATACCAGCCTGAGTATTAGTCATGAAATAAGGCTCTGCCTTTGCACAGCTGGGCTTGCAGATGAGTTGCCTAAGCTTGGTCCTTCACACTGCTGTGACCATGCAGCTGGCAGGACCAGGTGGCCTCCTTCGCCAGCAGACATTTAGGCTCCTACACATGGCGTGACCCATCACAAAATGCCAGCCTCCCTCTGGCAAGGATGTGGCGATGTGCGCAGTGATGAAAGTAGAATATCGTGCCAATAGCTGCAGGGCTGACTCCTCAAGATGGATTTCTTCCTGCTGTAGCTTCAAAGAGGAAAAGCAACCGTGAGTGAGGGCACAGCTAATGTGAAGGCATGAAGGTCACATATTCCCTCTCAGATAAGAAAAACAGCAGATCTGTTGCTGAAGCTGCAGAGGAAATGCAAGGAGCTGTCTGCTTTCCTTACACCTTTCTAAGCAAACAGGGTGTGATCCAGGAAATATCCCTGCTACCCAGCTGTACCTGCTCATACTCCTGATGTCCTTATGGAGAGCACCATCAAAGAGAGGGATGGTTTAATCTCCAGTATGTAGCAACTTCTATTTTAACAGAGTTGTTATTGCTAAAATTTTAGAGCCAAGCTCTGCCCTGACTTATCTTGTTTCATAAAGGCTGCACTTATCGCAAAGACAGGACAGAAAACAGCCCCCGGGATCCTGCCTTCTTTAGAGCAGCTTTGCTGAAAGGGGCTGCTTTTGTCCTCTTTCTGTAATTGAGCATGATGGCATCTGCTTTATGGCTGTTTACTTGCAGTCTCCCACAACTTCCCCACCTCCTCTGCACCTGCAATTAAGTTTTCCTGCAATGAACAAATCTAACATTCAGTGAGCAATAATTTGCAATGTGCCATGCTTGAATCAAGCAAAGAAATAAGCCAGTGTTGTTGTTATAAAGACCCGACAGATGGTAGGAGGGCCCGCCTTTCTTAATCAAGTCATGCTCACTAATCAGAGCTAGCTTGAATTTGTAACAAAAAAGAAACTCTACCAAATTGAGGATTAATGGGCTGCATCCTGACCTCTTGTTAGGACCAGCTCAGGGGTGTCCTTCTGTATCAAGAGGGATAACGAAGCTCAGAATCTGACCCACTTTGTGGAGAAGTTGAAAATACCAGTTAGGTCCTACTGTCACTTCCTTCAAAATGAAGGGTTCTCCCATGTAGACGCCTCCCAGTCTAGCTGTAAATATTATTTCATAGTCTGAGCTATAGCATGGTGGATAAGTCATTAGTCAATGAAAATACGCAAAGTTTCATAGTCTTTAATTTAATTACAAATGTGTTAGCTGAGCATCCAGCCCTCCAAGCAATGCAGCTGAAACATAGGGCGTGAGGGGCAGAGGCTTGACCTTGACCTTCTTCACATTAAGCCTTTCAATTCTAAAGAAGAATGAATGGGTTTCTAGATTGTTTCTGGCAGCAGACAGCATCTCCTGAGTGTCCAGCTTCTGTATGAATTGCATTTGAAAGGCTAAGAAAAAAGGAAGGATTTGCTGTCTACATAGGAATTACTATCCCGAATGAGACTTTGGGTGAGGACAGGGATGTAATAAAAATGCTTTTGTGGGACTGATGTTTAAGCATGGCTCCTAACTGCACTGTTTCTCTTCCTTTCGCTGTCTTCCAGGCTCACAAAGCATCTGAGTGCAAATCCTGATCCGCAGCATCCCCAAACACCCCCACAGCTAAAATGGCGGAAGACGCGGATATGCGCAATGAGTTGGAAGAGATGCAGCGGCGTGCCGACCAGCTCGCTGATGAAGTGAGACCAGTAGCTAAACTGGGAACCTGGGTCTGGGCTTGGTGTGAAACACACAGCCAGAAATAGGAGCTCATCCCACAAAGGATTTCTAGAGCTCTTTTCCATCAGCTTTGCACTGAAAGCGGAATTGGAAATTAAATGAGCTGGGGTAAAATTTAATGTTGTGCTCAGTCCAGATTAGGGAATTTATTGATCATGAGTTTGGTTTAGGTATTAGATTGTGCATCAATTTGACTGTCCTCAGAGCAAAAGGCAGCAATTTAATATTTTCTGAGGATTCCTTCGATTTGTCAAACCTATTAAATGTTAGAAGTCACCAGTTAGGTTTCTGAGGAGTCATGGCTGAAAACCACGGGCGTTATTTTTAAAGTGGAACACCTGTGGTTCCCAGCAGCACCGCCACAGCGTGTGAGCAAGGGGAGACAAGGGGAGACTGCCTCGAGGTGTGCTGCGTTAGCCATCCACAGAGCTGGAGATGGAGAGATCACCAGTGCCCAGTTGATGCCCTGATTTGGAGGGGAGGGAAAGAGTGCAGGGAAAACATCCTGTCAGCATGAGCCTGCACATTAGCGCTGGAAAGTGTAACTTGCCAAATCTCAGTGTTTTTTCCTATTTTTTTTCAGTCCCTTGAGAGCACCCGCCGAATGCTGCAGCTTGTTGAAGAGGTAAGGACTTGCATTTCATTTCACTTCCGTTGTGAGCAGAAGTGATGGAGAGCCTGACACTGGAAGTGGCTTTGTTTAAATTCACATTGCTAGGGCCTGGCCAAGGCTTTACGTGCCACTGCGCCTGCTCATCCCTACCCCTCACTAGGGCTGTGCAAGATGCAAAACATTGTTCCCTGGTTTCCAAGGCACCGGTTTGGTCATACCTGAGGCTGCATTGAGACAGGATTCTGGAAATAAATGAAGGAAACAGCCTCTGAAGGGGACCTGGAGTCAGGGACAAGTGGCTGAGTTTGCTGCAGAGCTCTGGGAGCCTTGTGCCAGGACCATTCTCACGTCCTTGGCATAACACTGCAAGAGGGGAAGGTGAGAAGGGTCCTTGATCCATTTTCCCAGTCTGCTTTAAATACTTCCCTCTCCATAAAGACTTGCAGCTATTTATAGCACAGCATTTAAATGCTATTTCTTTGTGTATCTCTGAAATATTTATCAGGATTTCAAGGCTCATGAGATTGTCCTAGATTGACCACTTTGGAGTTCTCTGATTTCCCATGGTGCTAAGGAAGGGGATCCTGGCTTGGTTCTCACAGCTAATACCTGCCTGGAGGGAAAAAAAAAATTCAATCAGGCCGTATTTCACCTTCTCCACAATAAAGGGATTGAAAAGTAGGGAAATTTCAACTCAGTTTAGTTTAGAGTGTTCAGCTATCAGGTGATGGAAAACTTTGCTGCTGTCTGACAGGACATATTATTTTCAGGCACCATGCAAGCCCTGGTGCTGGAGCTGGTGACATTTTTAATCAGGGTCATCAGCACTGACAGTCCCAGTACTCCTGACAACCAGAGGAGTCTCCAGCAGAGACAACGGGAAGAAAATTACATCAGGTCTGGTTCAGGAACAAGAACAACCTCAGCCGTAGGCTTTATGGCCTTGAAATCAATCACCACTTTGAAGATCAATGGAGTCCAGTGGAGACAAAATTAAATTTCCACGTACAGACAGACAGATGGGTCACTGAGCATAGTCAGCATTGCTTCTCCTCCACAAACACTCTAGATCAGGGCCCCTTGCAGCCAAAACACTCTCTTGTCTCACGAGCAATCTGTCCCTTTTTGCTGCTCAGTTCCCTGGACATGCCATTCCTAACCACCACTGACGTCAGCTCTGTGCTGGATGCAGCTCCTGCTGAAATCTACTCAACAACAAGGAAGAGAGGCTCATATGAGTACCCCCACAGCACAAGGCAGGAGAGCCTGCTGCCCCAAAACGCCTGGGATCTAAATAGACAAGGCAGATGATGAGTGGGAAGGAGAGGCGCAGGAAAGGGAAGTGATTTGCTCGGGGCCAAGCCATCAGTAAATATCAGCCCTGCCTCTCCTGAGCCGTATCTGTGCGGCCTGTGCGCTGCCTGAGTCTTCCTAACATATTGAACCAGCATATTGTGAATGCCACTGGAATTTCAGTACTAAATCACAGCAAATGGCAAAGTGGGAGGAGAACTGGGACTGCTGAATTTACCAATGAATTTATAGCACTCTTTGGAAGAGCTCAGCATCTCTGGACCTGGCGTTTATTCAGATGCCACAATATCTTCCTGTCCAAATAGAGAGGCTGCTAAAACTAGCACTGAGTAGTCAAGGGAGTTCTTCTAAAATAAGCTGAATATTATTTTCAATAATGTGACTACAGGAGACCTTTAAAATTCTTCTGAGGCCTAAACAGCTGGTTGATTATTCCAATCCCTTTTCCTAGGTACTTTTTAAAAAAATGCAGCATTTAGGGAGTGGAGATTTTATACCGAAAAGACAAATGGCAAGAGTATTTGAAATTGAACTTGCACTGCTCTGATTTAATAATCCTCCAAAATCCAATTAGACTTCCTCACTTAACAGAACCTGTCTAGTAGACAGAGATAGAAAATACTAGAAAGAATTCTTTTTACTCTGTTCTTTTGACACAGCAGATCTGTTCTTCCTTTCTTAGGAAAAGGATGCCTCCATGTTTAAGCATTATTACTGTGTACATTTGTATGGATTGATACTGGGGAAATACAGTATAAACAGACTGACTGGACTCCATCCTTGAGCCAGGAGAGTGCTGTCCATCCAAGGAAGCCCCGTAGCCATGTAAGACCTAATTGCAGGTCATAGCCTGGGGACATGTCCCCAGAGGACACGCCCTGCTTGCCCCAGAAGCCAATTCAGAGTTTGCAGACTAAGCCCCGATGCTGTTCTCAGGGAACATGGGCAAGGAAAATCAAGGATGTCATTGTTTCTTGGTTTTATAAGCCAGCTTTGCAAGAAGCTGATTTTTCCAGTCCTGGCACAAGAAGGGAGTCAAGAAGTGTTACAAAAGCGGCCCCAGCTTTGCCCCAAGGCAGCTCTGTACTGGAATGGCAGATTCCAAAACCCAGTTTGCTCCATGGTGCCCATTGTGTCCAGGCAGTGCAGCTAATCTGCGCTGACCAGTGCTCTTTTGAGCCACTCAGTGCTATCAATACCTGTATTTTATGATGATGCTCTGCAATGTTTGGGCCAAAACATAAAATAAAAATGAAGTGAGGCAGAACAAGTGAGACTAAATACAGTTTGTAGCTGACCTTCTTTTTATGTTCAAGCTTTTTTTCTCTGAGGCAACATTATGCAATGCAGAATATCACATGCAGGGAGAAAAGCTGGGATTTTTCTCCCATCTCCCAGTGCCACTATCATGGCCTTTAAGGAAAATCAGTTGTGGTAGTATAGGGGAAAAAAGGATGTTGTGTAGCTATGAAGCAGCAAGGAAAAAATAACAAGATCAGTAGTGGTAAAAGCTTAGAAGAAAGCACTTAGGATTGTACAGACAAAAGGGCTGTTTTGTACATTTAAATCCAGACAGGACTGTCTTCTCTCATGTGAGATGAGAGTGAAGTATCGAAGGTGAAATGCTGAGCTATAAATATTTGATAACTGGTGCTGCCCTACGCAGGATACTGAACACACAGAATGCCAATTTACCAGCTGTGAGGGTACCCTGACATTTATTATCACAGCCAAATTCTTCTTAGTCTGAAAAAAACAGATGAAAAAGTGCTCTATTAATTTAGAGTTTGGCCCAAACCTTGTCAAAGCTGATTTGAAATTTACCTTTGATATCATTAAACCTATTGGAAGTACTGAACTATTGGAAGCATTCTCCTCAGAAAAGTGTTTTAACCAGCGTAATTGCACATATCTGGCATGAGGGAATGTGATCCACAATTCTGGCCTCTCTTCCTCCAGTGCAGGATTGGCCCCCTTGGTGTGTGCTAGCCAGGGGGATAGCAGATTCACGTGGGCTGGGATGTGCCTTACCAGGCAGAGCAGCAGCGTGTGCCTCTTTAATCAGGGAGACATCGGAGCGTTAACAGCGTGACAGGGAACCTGGAGCAGGAGCTGAGCAAATTCATTGCTACGGATGACTAAAAGTGTTTCTTTGACCACATTTTTGTCTTTAGGGTGTTGACAGTTCTCTTTAGTGTCTGTGGGAACTGCTAGCAATATCAGCCTGTCCTGGTACATAATTGTCTGTATTAATTTATTCAAAACAAACTCTCTAATTCTCGATTAAAGCAAAATTCTTCATCGAAGTGGAAGTTTATGTGTTCTTCACATAACTGAGAGTGTATATTTGTCTTTCAGGATACCTCCTGAAAGGCAGGGAAAGTGATTTCCAGAGTCTGGATTCTCTATCTGATACAACATCCCTTTACAGCATTAGGAAAATCTTCACTCAGGCTAAAACAAAATTTGAGTAGCTGCCTTTGGTAGGATAGGACCCAACACACTGTGTTTCTGGAGGGACTGATGAGCCCTTTGAGAAGTCATTCCAATTGTCTTCCCACTTTTATTTCCATCTTGGGAAATTAGGTTCTGTAGCAGCAATAACAAGAAATGATACAGCAATGCAATTCCCCTCCAAAGTGCTGGGCAAATTTTAGTGAACGCTTTGTTGCTGACACGCTTTCAGTAAAACCCTAACAAAAAATCCCAAACAAACAAACAAAAAACCCAAAGCAAAAGCAACTAAAAATTTTTAAAAAGCTGTTACAGAAGACTAAGAATAATGTCTATTAAAGCCTCCAAAAGGGTTCCCAGTAATGCTCTTAACCAGGCTTCACTGTAGCACTGACAGACTAAAGTATCTATGAGTTGTATTGAGCCCAAAGATTTAAAATCATATATTCTGGTTCTTTGATTAATAGCTCTGCCAGTGACCAAATGGAGAACCTGGGCATGTGCTTCATATAAATGATGCAGAACCCAAACCAGTACTGCTTGTTCATTTGCTTTTATTCAAGCATTAGAGCCTGGCTGAAAGATTGAAGGACATAAACTTTCCTGAAATGTACGGGGTCTGTTTCACCTAATGTGATACATTTTTAAGTCGGAAGTGTTGGCCTCCTGCCCTGAAGGGTCATCTCATGTGCAAAATTATTTTATATATTATATATTTTACCATCTGCAGAATACCTGCATTATGGATAAACAGAGGAACTCCAGGGCTGCCAGTTTAATGCCTCAACATTAGCAATTCGTGCTGTGCCATTTTCTTATAAAGGACAAGAATGTGAGAGTTTGGCTGTGCCATGGCAAAATCCAGCAGTCCAAATTCTCCTCTCAAGTGCAATGAGAAGACAAGGAGAGTCAGAAGTTGTTCTCAAAAGAGATGGGTGCTACAGATTAAAGAGCTGGATGAAAATGAACTTTCTAGGGTCCTGTGAAAGATGCATTTCTCATCTCTCTGGCCTGACCTACCCTAAGCATTTCACTTTTCTGAGAACCCTTGTTTTGCTAAAATAATAGAGGATTGCCTCTACAAGGACTGGAGGGTCTGAAGAGATTCCTCCACTGCACAGGAGGGAAGAAACACTCTAATCCTGGCCAAGGCGGGAATTGAGCCCACGATTTCATAACATGATGGACCCCACTAGTTCTATGAATTCATGGCTTCCCACACAGCCCATCACTGTTATTGGGGAGCACTGGATGTGTGTGGGAATCCTTCCTGAGCCCTCAGCAGCAGCCAGAGCCAAGCACAGTCACTGGGCCATGGTGATGTGAGTCTGTAACCAAGGACTCAGAGGCAGAGGCTGTGAAACCTGTCCTTCTGGACTGGCACTTACAGCAGAGCTTTCATCACCTCCTGTCACACACTGTCCCCACAGCCAGCTCGAGTGGCACCTGCTCCACTGAGACTCACGTGCCTGTGTTTGCCCCCTGAACACTCTTGTGGGACACATTTCTTCCCCTAGATTTCTTTAACTGAGGCTTGTACTTTCCAGAGATGCCTCAGTCTGTTGTCCCTGGGGATCAGACACAGAGTGCTTCTCTCCTGCTCAGACGTCTGGATGATAAACACATTTTTGAAATAGTTCTGTCTTACAGAGAAGTTTGGGTTTCTGTTATCTAAGATATCAGCCATAATGGAAATACTGAGCTTTTAGAAAAGTCTGGGCCTATTTTAAATGCACAAACATGATTTATTTTTTGATTGATTTTACACATTTAATTCTTTTTGGGGAAAAGCTGTAAATTAATGCTTAATAGAAATTTGGAACAGAAGGAGATTGTCACTTGATGTCTGAATCACATCTCATCCTTTTCAGTCACCACCTCTTTATTAGCTTCAATATGCTTTGGATTAGACCACAGATGCAGACAAGTTTATTCATTGCATACCCTTTAATATTTTCACATTTGTGTAATGCTGTGGCAGGCTGTTTGCAAGAGATACAGTGTTGCCTGATAAAATTAAATGGCGCTGATGATCAGGTAAAGAACAGAAAATTTCACCTCTTTTGCTCTGTGTAAGGATTTGATGTGAAATATAAACCATAGGGTCTAGTTCCTGAGCTCATCTCCCAGCACATGTCTTGTTCAGATCACTGGACATCTTAGCTCTATAAAGGTGGTTTGCTTAGATGTTAAACACAGCAGGAAAATAAGGCCAGAGGGTTGAAGAGCAGTAAATATTTCTTAGCCCAACTATGTTTGATTCAGCAAAAATTTTTGGAGCTTAGTATTTGGAATGGTCCTATGTCAGACTGCACCCTATTTACTGAAACACAAGGTGACTCAGGACCCAAGCAGCCTTCTTGTGTTTGCATGAGTTTCCATATTTGTTAAAATACATACAAATCTGGGCGGGGGGGGGGAGGAATTCCCTGGTTACCAAGAGTATAAAAAGATCCAATAAAAAACTATTGTACAGGCAGTGCTTAGCAGACACAGGGTGCTTAGTGCCCCACAGAAAACATCAGCTAATTAAAGGTGGTTTCTTTATTCTAAACTGGCAAACCTAAGATAAGCCTCGCACCCTAAGTTTCGAAAGGCTGCAAAAATGAAGGCTGGCTGGGATTCAAGTAAATAGAGTGAACTTGAAGGGAGAGAGAGCAGCAGTGGGCTCCTGGTAGATGGCTGACCCGAGGGCAGCAGGGTGCAGCATACCTGGGGGAAGCAGGAGGCCTTCTCTGTACATCTGGCAACTCACACAGGGACTTTTTACAAAGAGACAGCAAAGCAGCCTGCACACATCTGATGCTTTTTCCAGTTTCCGCAGTGATGTGGACATTGCGGACATGAATGGGGGTGCAGGGAGAGGCAGAGAAGAGCACAGCCAGAGGTACCTCGTGTCCCTCTTGAGCCGAGCAGATCCTCTGGAAGCACAGCAGAGCAGCACCAGCTGCACCAGCAAACAGCCCTGAGCGTGGCAGGGCTGGGCTTGTGGCTGAGCCAGTGTGGACTGCGGGAGCCTGGGAGGGCCCTGTGAGCGTGGGCAGGGCAGCTCATGGCCACAGACACTTCACTGCACCCACAAAAACTGATGAGCAGTGAGAAGGGCAGCTGGCAGGAAGGATAACATGAGGTCCTTGATTTGCCTCCAGGAGTGGTGAAAAGCAAGAGGGTCAGTCAGGAGTTTAGTTTTCTGTTCCTGATGTAGCTGTGCAACCGTGGGCATCTCCCTGCCCTCTGCAAAATCAACACCACCACCACCTTTATCTGTTTCACAGGAGCATGGATCACTTTCTGTTCATGGCAACAAGTAAATTACTGGTGCACATGTCCAGGTAGCTCTGCTGTCAAGCTGTCAGGCCACAGAGGACTTACTTCATCTGTTATTGACATGCAACAGTCAGGAGATCATTCAAGCCATTAATTATTCACAGATGTTATCACTGCTCCAAGCACAATGGAGCTGGTTTCCCCTTTGTAATTAAAAAGGAGATAATTTGATATGTGATATAGCTGAGCACCACAGCACCCAGGAACCAGAGACACCTGATCACATCCCAGAGTGATGATAACACAATAAAAATTGTACTTGTGAGAGGTGCTCTACTCCTGGCTCAGCTTTGCTCCAGCCCTGTATCCAGTAAAGGCAGTGGTAAGATTCCCACTAAGCTCCGGGAGCAGAGGCAGATTCAGTGTGTAGGTGTTTTGAAAATCCTACCTTCAAGCTCAATTCAAAATCCATTAATGCTAAAGGTGTCTGATGACTGAATTAAAACTTAGCTCAAGACCATATCTATTAGATCACTGAGCCAAAAAATATGGCTTAATCCTATTAAATATTAGCCTGCTTTAAACTGGATTTCCTAAGTAGGTAAGCTTTCTGACTTCTGTCAGCAGCAAGAGCTGTGCACAAACCACTGTGCCACCTTCCCAAACATGTTTGTGTCATACCTGTTTTCCCTGGGAATTTCTCCCGTGAGATTCACATCCACCTACAATATCAACACCCCCATCCTCCCCTCTCCTGCTTCCCTGGACTTGGAGATGAGCCTTCTCTTTTTAGAGATTACTCTTGTGTAAAGTGGTTGTTTTAATCTCAAGGTCCATGGCTTTGTGCTTTTTGCAGAAGTTTGGTATCCCAGTGAATCCAGAAGGAAGGACTGATGGTACAATGGAGAGAACCTAGCTCCTCACACAGTGTCCAGGCACATAAGGCCTTTGGACTGTGCCATCAGCCCCTTGTCATTCCTTTCACTGTTTTTCTTGTGTCTTCCTATGTCCCATACCAAGGGCTGAATGTTCCCTCACTGATCTCTCTTTCTCTCTCTCTCTCTCTTCTCCCCCTCTCTCTCCTTACCTTGCTACCACTATTGGGATGTAGAGTAAAGATGCTGGTATCAGGACTTTGGTTATGTTGGATGAGCAAGGAGGTAAGTTCAGATTGCTTCAGTAAGGAAGTATAACCCTTTCTAAAGTGCTGTACTGACTGTGTGCAACCCTGGAAACAAGGGACAGAAAATACGTGTGGTTGTGCATGAGAATCCCAAAACCTCTTTGCCTTTAGCTTTGTTCTCCAGCAGAGAAAAATGTACAACAGCTGCCTAAAAGTCTGTACTTCTTTTGATCTGCTTCCCATTAATGTCAAAGAGAGCTGCAGGCTCAACTCAACCAAATCACCATTTGATTTCAGCAAGCTTTGGGTCAAGATCCAGCTACATGACGAGAGGATTTGCCTCTGTAGGTGTAAAATTCAGCATTATTTATGCAGGTGCTAAGTAATTTTCCCACTTAAATCACAAGTGAAAGACATGCAACAAATGCATCCCAAGAGAAGGTAAGTGGGTTTAGTTTGTGTAAGATTCAGTTACATTTTGTACAGTGGTGAGGCAGTGAGAATGACAGAATTTAAACATTAAAAGGTATTCCACAATCAGCTCATTACAATTGTCCATATAGGAGGTTCAGACTTACACTACCTGTCTGTGGATGACAATGACAAAGACAGAGCCTGATATATTCAATACATTCCAGGAAATTACATTTTTTCCCTTCATAATATTACAAAGAAAAGGTAGCCTTCTCTCCCTCTCAATCAAACTAATAAGTCTTCATTTGCCGTAGACTCACAGCCCCAGGAAAATGGTGTCTTCAATAAATCAACAGAGCAGAAATTTCTGCTACTCTCTATCAGACCAGCCCCCCAAAGGCCCTTGTTATTATTTACTATGGGGCAGGACTCACAATTATTATTAGGAAATGTCTTCTGCAGAGGCAATGCTGCGTTACTCATCAAACCTGGACAATGATAATAAGCCAGGGTATGGAATTCTTGGGAAATGGACTGCAGAGCACAACAGGACCTTTCCAGTTTTAATGTCCCACCTCTCTGACACTATAATGAATGAAAAGTAATAACAGGACCTAAATGGAAAGTCTTTTCTTCTATTTGCTTTTTTTTATGTATGTCTCATTGCTTTCCCTCCATATGCCTCATTTAAGGAAAAAAATTTAACCAAATTCTGTCACATCGATTTGTCTTGACAAGAAAAATATCACAGAGAACATGTAGTTGTCTTCAAAAAATAATGGCAGTAGAAAAACTATCACCAAATACAGAAAACCAGAAATTACTTATGTTGAAACAGATACGGCACCTGTCTAAATAATGTGTTTTGTTTCAGCAGTGGATCATACGGTTGTAATAAATCACAAATATTGTCAAAGGAAGTATGTTAATACCCAGGTGTGTCTTGCAATGTAATTCACAGGCAGAGTACCAGAAACTTTAGTGGCTCCTACGTATGTTTCTGTTTCTTAACTGCTCTATTTCCACAGACTGCTAGGGAGATTTTTTATTTGAATCCTGAATTTTGTTGGGTTTTTAAATCATTATTTTGGAATTCTACTATTGATACCCCTGTATTCAGAAGTTTTCTGAGTGATTCACTCTGTAGCCATGACAGGAAGGACAATGAGAGTGAGCTAAGGAGCTGAGACTGGACACACTCATCTCCCTGGAGTCCAGGGAGCTCAGTATTAAACCCTTATTGAGAGTGAAACCTGCAATGCTTGTTGTACAGTCACAGATGCAGCTAGTCAATACCTCCAGCAAAGACTCAGGTCTTGAAGGCTCTTTAAATTGGTTATGGTCATGCCTTAAGTGGTTCACTAAATTTAGCTTATGACTATACAGTGTGGGTTTCTCAAGGAAAACAGCCAAATAATGTTACCAACCCTGAAAATATTGTAACCTTGTACTATGCTAAATGTTTAATTTTCTCCATTTAACCGTATGTAGGTGTAATAATTGCTATTTTTTTTTTATTTCATTTTAGTGATAAAGGACTTACACTACTGGGCAAAATACACTAATGATGACTTTGAACCCTCTGTAATTAGTGCAATGTGTGCAGCTCACGCATGTCTCAGCAGATTATCAGATTAAGGAAATCATTTGCTAACACTGCCATGTGATCTCTTTGCAGCTGACTGCACAAGTCACTTAAGATTATTAGGTGTTAAATATACAGAAAACATGACATTGATCTTTCCAGTGGGCGGCAGGCAGAAGATCTAATCTCTGCACTTGCTGGAAGCTCTATTTCTAGGTTTCCTTACAAAATTGCTTGTTTTGAAGTTAAACAGACCTTACATGGAAAAACCTTTCTGAGCCAATTCAACCCAAATAGTGCAAAGCAGAACTGATTTTCTGGTATCAGTGAGCAGAAGTCTCCGGGATCATAAAGGCAGTAAGCCAAGGTAATTTCCCAATGCCAGGTATTTGTACAACAAAGCCAGCCTGGATAGCTGCTCTTGCCCAAAGGTTTAGCACAGCTGGCTGCACAGCAGGTTACAGAGGATGCGCTCCCATGAAAGCTAGAGGGTCTTCCAGTGTCCTCTGAAGAATGGGGACCTGAGTAGCCCCTCTGCAATACCAAGAGTTACCATTTTTTGGGTCTGGTATTGTCACCCAAACCAGCTGAACACAGCTCTTCCCCTGGGGAGCCCACAGGAAGGAGCCAGGAGTTTAGATTTTCCTTGCTGGGTTTTTTCCCATTACTAAGAAAGTCATTCCCAGACCATGTGCATCCATAATGCTTACCTTTTTTTAATCTGGCCTTGAGTAAAGCTCCCTTAATTAATTATATAAATATAAATATATATATAACCCTTTAAACTAAAATACTTGTATTTTACATGGAAAAATAAATGCTGCAAAGGATTATTGAGCAATGGCAATTCCTCTGCCTCTTTAAAACATGCTAACTTAGAAAAATGTTAATATCTGGATGTATTTTGGCTAAAAGCAAACAGTAGAAATGAAACTAATAGTACAAAGTGAAGATATGAAGGTAAACCTGAAGTGCTAACACAGAAAAGGTTCCAGGCTGGTAACTCTGTTCATCCATAGGAAACTCCCATCACTGGACATGATAGCAGGGTTAATGATTTGGACCTTCAAGGACATTTTTTGTGTGGTGATGTCCTCATGGCAGTTTACTACAGAAGAATTTTGTTCTTGTATTCCAAATAAGGTGCAGGGGAAAAACTTTTCCAAAAACAACAGCTGCAGCGCAGTAATTTTTCATCCAAGACAGGACAGAGGAATAGCCACAACTTTGATAAGAGACAAAGAAAATGTCAGTGCATTTGGAATTTTCTCCTTGCACTATGAATGCACAAACAGCATTGCTGGGGAACATGGGGAGCAGATTAATCTACCTATCAGATCTTACTCCAGATCAAGCTTATAAAGGAGATAAAGCTTGGAAATAACTGGGCAATCCCACAAACAAAAGCACTGGCACACATGCGAGCTGACCTCCACTGCTTTTGCAGGAGCTGTGGGTTTTGCAGTTTTGTATGTTATGGCTAATTAGCAAAATAAAAGGGGCTAACGGCTACTGCAGTTTTCCCAGGGAAGATGGTATTAATTATGCTGAAATCATAGCACAGAACAGAGGACAGATGAAGCCCCACAAAGCAGGTTGTGCCTTTGTCTCCTGTTATTTTTAGCAGAGCTCCACGTGGGCTCGCAGCTCTCCCCTCCAGCTTTGTTCCAGGGGTGCCTGTGCCCAGCAGGGCCTTCCAGAGCACAGCTAGGTCAGAGCTCAGATCTCTGAAAAGGCTGTCCCACAGGCCACACTCCAGTATGATTCTCCTTCATGGAAAACGGGATGATGGCCTAGCATTGGAAATAGTTCATCTGCTGAGTCTCAAATTAAACCCTCTTGTATGCAATTATGATTGCCATGTGTTCTTAAAATGTCCTTTGTGTTTTCTTCCTTTTTTTCTTATTAAAATTGGCCTTGGGGGAAATTGCTTGCTGCACAATACTCCAGGCAAAGGAGCAAGTTCCAGCCTCCACAGGCATTAGCTGACATTCAAGAACAGGCCCCAGATCCTGGACATCAGCAAAGGAATATTTATTAGAAATTATAGATGAGGATGCAAAGGTGAAGCAACACCACTCTTGCTCTGTGCTGGTCTTGCTACCAATGCCTTGTAAGATGCTTTTGCAGCTTTTTTTGCTCAAGACACCACAGGAGCAGCTGAGAGATGCCCTTGCTACAGTTTCCCTGCCCCAGCCACTTCCCTAGATCAGTCACAGGATGGAGAATTGCCAGGATGGTACAGGAGATCCTGGCAAAGACCCAGTGGCAAGTGGTCACAATGCTATGATAAAACTAACAGGACTAGCTTGTGTTCCCCCAGTTCCCTTACAGGAGTAATTCACAAGTATAATGATACAGGTAAAAATCTATTCGTTTGTGCCTTAAGATAGGCCATTTGTTTGCTGTGAGATCTGGAAGAAGATTTATGGTCACTACCTTGAAATGAAAGTGATATTCTCGGACATCAAGATACAAAAAGAGTTGCAGCATTTTCCAGAGGGGAAAAAATAGAAGGAAATCACAATGAAATATACCTCTGATGTGTATTCTGCTTCCAGACAACATCAATTCTCTTAGGTATATATCATATATCATACATAAACATATAGGTGCAGCTTATTCAAATAATATTGCAACAAACTGTCAAAAGATGTTCAAACTCTGACCTTGAAGGGCTTCTCTAAATGGAAGACAAAAGACATTACCTCTTGTAGGCGTGAATTTGCGTGGGCTCATGGCAATGCATGCCAACAAACTGTCTTCCCTAAAACCTTTAATACAGCACAGAACGTTGGAATAGGGAAGATCTATGGAAACAGACATTAAATTAACCTCTCGATTGCCTTCTGATTTCCTACCGGCAGTGATTCATTCTGGGTCACAGTTTAATAGCAGTTATACCAAAACAAATCCAGAGTGACCCCATTAAGTTAATTCCACTATAATATTTATGCCTCAATAATTGTGGTTAGACTCATGAATCTAATTCCTTGCTTGTGGGACCAGATCTTTGACAGGTATAAATTGGCATGGCTCCACAAAGCCAGCATAACTATGCTGACTCAAACCAGTTAACAGTCCAGCCCACGATGTTAACAACTAGCAAGTGGTTTTAGGACCAGCAGCCAGCTGTCTAGACTTCTGGGCTGCAAATATGACATGGGTTTTTTTATACTTATGAGGTTTCCTTTAATGGAAGATAAATGAGTTGTGGCTCCCTTTCCTATTCAGCAATAGTCCAGGCATCAAACACAAATCCTGAGGTAGGATAAATAAAGACAGGCTTCTAATGAGGACTGTAGTTAAAATGGAAGTCTTTGAGTTATGTCAAATATACTGTTCAATAAGCACTCATTTATTGAGGCAGAACAGAAAACAGGTAAAGACAGTTCAAAAGGACCTGTTACATACATGGCTTTAGAGAATGTGCATCTGGGCAAGGAGAATTGCTTCCACTGAGAGCTACCAGTGGCACCAGGTCTAGGACTGACCCATGCAGAGTGAACCCGGCTTTTGCTACTGGACAGACCAGGTTAGAGGAGCACTAGCAGGAAAATCAGTGGAAGAAAGATCAGATGCCTGCCATGTTCCCCAGAGTCAAAATGCACATGTGGGTCCAGCCGTTCCTTAGCTGCCAAGGGGCTCTGCAGTGCTCGGAAGCAGGAGCTGGGAGCCTGAGACAGAAGTGCAGCAAATCGCATCACGCTGCATAAAGCAGCACCAAAGGCAGCTCACAGTGCCACAGCTGCTCCCCAGAGCCAGAGCAAGCATTGCCCAGCCCCGGAGCAGGAGCACAGGGAGGGCTGTCCCCTTCTGCCACAGACTCACATTTCTGATGAGAGTGACAATCTGTGCCTACAGACACCAACCAAAGCTTCTGCCGAAGCCTACATTACACATGCATTGAGACAATCCAACCTTGCTTTTCTGGCTCAGCTCAGCAGTTTACCTGGCTGATCTTGTACAGCCCCTCTCTCAGGTTTCCTTCTCTGTTTCCCAATCCTTTGCTTATGCAGTGTGTGCCCCTTTAGAGGGCACTGCCAAGTGACTCTGATCCTCTAAATATATCCTTGGATTTGGGAAAAATAACTCCCGTGGGACCAGGAGAGAGGCCTGTCCAGCTGAGGAGAATGAGAACTGACAGCAGAAAGGCAGATGAATCTCACTATACTGACATGGCGCCTCTCCTTCTCAAAGCCCAGTGTCATGCAAAAATTAAACAAAGAGTACAAGTTCAATACTTGAACTATTCAAGCTTGAATAATTTAGCCTAGGATTTTCTAGCCCCTCGAGGACTGAGGTCCCTGTTTCCTATTAAAATTAATTAAATAAAATTAATTTTAATGGGAAATGGGCATCTAAACCCCCCAGAAAGCTTTGAAAAGCTAAATCTCAATTGTTATTAAAAACCCGAGTAAGAAATTAGGTATCTTCATGTTCTCAATGAAGTTAAGAGGAGCTTTTTACTGACATCAATATGCATATGATTTTTCTTCTAAAATTTTCTTCCTCTTTTATTTTTCTGGAGAGGACTCAGTTAACATCAGGGATGACATTAAATTCCTTCTATAACCAGTGCTCTTAGTTCCTTCCTCTACAGTCTAATTCAGTGTTTTTCTATTACACATGGGGACCAGGGATGTGTTTGTATTTTACCGGGACTGCTTTACTTTTCCTTGTTAGGTACAGTTACAATTTTTAATGGATTGAAATGCCACTCCAAGTACCTTTTTGATTCTGGGTAGTATCTGAATCTATCCTTTGGGAACAAATGGTGTAAAATGTAAATCCCATGTAAAATGCTGTCCCTACTGCAGACTCCACACAAGACACTCGATCCAATTGGATCCATATCTGTTTACCTCAATGGAGAATCCTGTTCCTATACTTTTATGTCATGGCATTCTGTTCTTCTAGGACATTTTTCCCAGCTTTAAAAGTGAAAAAAATTAACACATTAAGACCAAGTCACTTAGAAAACCAAGTCACTAAGAAAACCCATCAGCCTTAGGTGGAAATATGCCAAATTTTGTTTTAATGCCAGCAGAGAGTTAGGGTCTATATTTGGCTGGTTTTTGGGCCTGATGCTTCTTAACTTGTCCTGGAGCAAAGCAGAAGTGACCCCACTGAAGACATGACTGTTCACCCAATGCCTCTTTCCATAAGGTCCCTTGGGGCCAGAGACAAGGAGCACCACAGCCGGTGACCCTCTCGCAGAGAGCATCCGGGAGTGGTTTCAGTTGTTCCTGCTCACTGAGGTTACTCCTGATTTGCAGCACCCACACGGGGAAGAAAACCAGCCCTGAGGCCACACTCAGGCTAGAGATCAGTATCCAGCACCAGTGAAAGTGACAGGTCTGTTTCCTCTGCCTCTGGAATAAAGGGTACCTGGACACAAGCCCTAACAGCTTGCTCCATTTACCACTACCACTAACTACCAGCTCTCTCACTCACTAGCCACAGCAGCTGTGCTGCCCAAACCCACCTAATTCTGAGGCATTTGTAAGCGTAAGTAACAGAAGCGTTTTCCATGGAAGGACTTCTTTTCTCTAATATTAACATACATAATGCAAAATAATAACACTATCTTTCTTTCTCCTGGATGTCACTGTGTCTTAGTAAGTTGATGTATTGTATTATGTTTCTGGACCTTGAACTTTATAACCCTTCCTTTCTACATCATTACATCTTGTTTATATTAATATATTTCAAATAAATTTCTCCTTTGTTTTACTCTTCCCATACTAATAAAAAAAAATCTTCAGCATCCAATGCAGCATACATCCTTTCAGCAATGCATCAGCTCAGATTAATGCATTGTAATGTCATTATTAACTCAGTTCTACATGGTCATTTTTCATGTTCTGTTGAAGACAAAATCAAACAAACAAAAATACAATTCATTCCACACTGTCATCCCTTTGTCCTGACCAGAACAACTCGATCGTGTTGAAGAAGGCATGAACCATATCAACCAAGACATGAAGGAGGCCGAGAAAAATTTAAAAGATTTAGGGAAATGCTGTGGCCTTTTCATATGTCCTTGTAACAAGTAGGTACTGGGTACCGGCTCTGCTATGTGGTGTCCAGTTTTTTGTCACAGTGAATGTCTGAAGTTTTTGTCTTTTTTTTCTTTGTCCTTTTCCATCTGCTTCATTCTGTGGGGATAAAATACTTGTGTTTAATCAGAACAACTGGAACGCATCGAAGAGGGAATGGACCAAATCAATAAGGACATGAAAGAAGCAGAAAAGAATTTGACGGACCTAGGAAAATTCTGTGGTCTTTGTGTCTGTCCATGTAACAAGTAGGTGCTGCCTGCCTCATCTCTTTGAGCACTTAAGGCTGATCCCAAAGGCCTTGTGAAGCTCATCCTTGCTAGGCACATGGACAGGATGAGCATGTGGCATGCAGAAAGAACGATTCTGGTTCAAATGCATTCATTTCATAGCATAGACAACTGACTGGGAATTACTGTAGATGCATTAAAATCAGGCATACTGCAGTGAAAGCTTCACTGTTGACACCTTTTAATGGTAAAAGTTTCAACATTTTACACAAAGTGTACTGAGTGGTACTGAGTCCATTTTCCAGCGGACAAAAACACTTGGGGCTACCTTATTCCTGGACACTCTAAATTTTGAAACATATTTTCACAAACAAGTTTCATAAACAAAAGAGCTGAACAAATGCAGAAGAGGTCTTACTAAACATTGTTCCAAATTGTGGATGAAAATCAGAGCTTTTTTTGTTGTTCAGCAGAAATAGTCCTTGATGAGATCTTGAAAGAGATGTGACGTTTCATGATTGGAACCCAACTTGAAATGGTTTTCATCCTGCCACAGGCAAAAAATTTGACAAAACCTCAACAAGCCAAATTTCTTTCATTTGGGTAGCACGTACACTAAGCAGAAATGTTGAAATGCATTGAATTTGCTTGCATGCCATCACACTTGAACGAAACCGTCCTCCAAGTAATGCCAAGCTTGTTTTAAATGCCAAATGAAAATGTGATGTGCGGTTATGTGGGTGTAGGAAACTGGGGACCAACCCAAAGTCCTTGAGGAATGGCAAATCCAGCATGCAGTGAGTAGGCATGAAACTAGGTTGCAGTGAAAACATTTCTAAATGGTTGGCCACATATCGTGCAGGAGACAAAGCAGAGAGAAGTGTTGCTGTAGTATTAAATTCCCTTTCTACGTGAAATTTGTTCACAGCCAAAGCCTGATCCTTCCCCAGTTATCAAGACCAAAAAGAAAGAGAGCTGTCATAGAGTTCATGGGGTATTTTGCCAAAAATCAGAAGAGCGGGGCTAGGGTTTTGCCTTATCAGTCACATTTATTTTGAAGTTAATTCCCTTGGGACACAATGCAGATACCGCCTCAGGTATTTTACTTCTGTGTACCAAGCCCTGAACACTTTTTTGAGGTAAACATTTTGCCCAGAATGATTATAGCCTTGCTGTGCAATGGGAGAGGGGGCAGGAGGAATGGGAAGGGCTGCATACACCCCTTCTGCAAGCACTGACAGGCCGTAGCCCTTGCTGCCCTGCACCAGAGGAGCTGGTGCACAAGAGCTGCAGCAGAAACTTCACATCTCCCACACTGTAGGAGCTGTAAAAGCTCAGAACTGACAGCCAGACATGTGACAGCAGTGGGATTAGCACCTGGCACGTGGCACTAAAACATTTGGCACTTCACTATGGCTGCAGCGTCATGCTGCAAGAACAGAATGATTCTACAGGAGATGGAGGGGACATGAATTTGTGAAGGGGCCTCTTCCCTTCTCCAAGCCATTCTGACTCTATCAGTCTGGAGTCATATTTCAGAGAGCAGCATTGCTAACCAATGCTCAGAGGATGGATGGAGAATGGTTTTAGAGACTGTTCCCTGAGTCACTAAGCCAGGACCCCCCTGGTACAGATAAGGTGATGTTCTGAGGAGTGGAGTGTGGGAGAGAGAGAAATCCATACAGTTCTGGGCATCAGAACCACCATGATCCCCTAAAGCTCTTGTGGCTGGTGGGAGATAATTGGCATATATTTATAAAAAGATTATCCACTTCACATGTAACTCTACCCTGATATACAGTGAAAGTACAGTTCTCTGAGCCTTAAAAATATGTAAAGCTTGATCCTACATTCTAAGGAGATCGAAAATGCCCACAGCATGGAACTTTTACCAGGTTGCATTCTAAAGGACAACTCCTATTATCATGAGCAGATCCAAGCTCCACCTGTTGACTTTAATTGGAAGTCCACAAGAGATCAGATTCTGGGTGTATAAAGTCATTTACCTCAAACACAGAAACTGTCTCACTGACAAAGTTGCATAGGTCCAAAGAACAGGCAAAACCCTGTAAATGTATCTGCAGCAAGAGAATTATTTTCAGGCATTTTAGAAATGCCAAAGCTGATGTATAGTTTCAGAGAACTAAAATGAAACAAGCCAACCATCATATTTTTAAGTCTTCACAAACTTTAATAGGAAATAAGCAACAGAACAGATGAGTAGGAAAGATCCTCTTTTAATCTATATTTGAATTCTAAATTGGATCATACAACACATCTTCAGACTCATTTAAAACTGAGCTGCTTTGGGGGGCATGGAGAGAACATGACACCAGAGATGGGTTTGTCATGTCCTCTCCCAAATCCCCCAGAAGCACGTTCAGTTCCTTCCCCAAAATCCAAGCCACAGGGCTGTTTATAGGACTGATTGGGGCTGACCAGGGAACAGGGAAACCACAGAGATTTGCAGCTCCCAGTGGTTTTGTTGGAAACAGACCCATTTCCAGAATAAAATCACAAACATATACCTGTGGACCCCAAATCCTTACATTCCCCTGTTAAATGCTCAATCTTGTCTGCTGACCCCAATGACAGCAGCCCTAAATAGGCTGCACATGTCAATTTTCCACTCTAGGGGTGCCTGAATTTCAATTTTCTATCCATGGCAGCTCAGTCAAAAATGGCTCTCTGCAGGTTAATGTAACTGCCACAAAATACAAATATAACAAGTTGCCAGGCTATTTTTGAAGTCCTGTGGTTTAAAACTCCTGAAGGAAGTGATGATCCTTTTTTGCCTGTGTCTTGCTTATTGTGAAGGCTGTTACTGCTGATGCATTGAGGGTATGATGAACTATTGGGGCAACTGTGCTTAGTGAGAATGCTTTACTTCTTATTCATGCCTGTAGCTAGTGCATGAAGAAAAACGTAGAAAAATTTCCCTTTCTGATGCTAGATTGCTTGTATCTTTTATTTTCTCCTGCACTCATTTCACTTCTGCCTATTTTACTTTTTGTCTCTGTGGACAAAGGTTTGTACATCAACTGTCGATGTATGATTACTATTTTCAAGTACCGATATATTATTTGAAAAATCTAATGAACCCTATGATAAAATCATCCCCAAATCACGTTGGGAAAGGTCAGTGGCTTTTAATGCCTATTATGCCACATACATATTGAAAAAATATCATCAAGAAGCCAAATATTCTGCATAGTAAAAAGTTAAATTGTAGCCAAATCTGTTTTTCTCTAAGAGGGTGTGTTGCTGTGATGTGATGTACACACTATACTTGGCAGTTCTGTTTTTATGTCTGTCTGCCAGTACGTCCTCTGTGTCTGATGTCAAAACATATGTGTCACTGAAATGAAACAATGTTTTCTACTTATCTGTATTTCTTCTCTTCTTTTTCCTTTTTTTTTTCTTTTTTTCTTTTTTTTTTAAATTTTCCTTCATTCTGGAAACTAAGTCAACATCCAAAATCCTGTGTGCAATGTTGTAGACCTGACAACTGCAATTCACCCTATTGGAAACTAAACCTCTGACCATCACTGTTGTGGCAGTAAAGTAAAAAATAAGCAAAAAAACCCACCCCCTCCTTTTATTCAGGGTTATGATATATCGGTATACAAAAAATGACCCTCTATCTGAAAACTCATGTGCTTGATTCAGCTTTTAGCTTGGAGAGGTAAAGAGTTTTGCGTTTGTCCTTGTGCACTTGGAGCTTTGTTACTCATCATCTTTCTCGCATAGGCTTAAATCAAGCGATGCTTACAAAAAGGCCTGGGGCAATAATCAGGATGGTGTTGTAGCCAGCCAGCCTGCACGTGTCGTAGATGAACGGGAGCAGATGGCCATCAGTGGTGGCTTTATCCGCAGGTGAGCCTTTTTATCCACTGTTTTCTCTCTGCTCTCCTTGTCACTGATATATTTAGATTGCTTCCATATGGTCATGAGCTCTGTGGTGCTCATTAACTCCTTCAGAGGTGCTGGGTAATGGGATGGAGCCAGGGTTTTCCACCAAGTGGTGCTCGGTTTCAAGTTGATGGTGACTAAGGCATTTCCTAAAGGTTTACTGCATCCGGGGACTTCTCCTGGGCCTGAAGGTCACCTGAGCTCTAGTGCAAAGGATGGTGACCTTGCTGGAAATCCTGGAAGAAAGGGTCTTGGTCCTGAGAACCAGAAGATGCTTGAAAACATAAGCCCAAACCTTTCTTTTTGAGACTACCCAGATTTGGGTAATAATAAACTAGAAATGAAGTCTGTTTATTTATTTCACAGCAGCACTGTGAGGGTGCAGACAGCCATGGCTAGCCAGCATTGTCCTCAGCACTCCAGCTCCCTGTGCGAACACTTGTCCTGGGGGCCTTATCACAGGTCTCACTAATGACTTGTCAAAGGCCTCAGAAATGAAGTGTCAGATAAACACTAGCTTATTGCCATTATGTCTCAAGGCATGTAGTGCCCATTATCCATCCTTGCCAGAAGATGTACCAAAGCATCCAGCAGCCCTCCCTTTCTTTTCAACAACAAAAATGCCTCAGGCTTCCTGCCAAAGCACCGAGCCAAGCTCAGAACCTGAAGAACACTTTAAACTAGAGGTGCACCCCTCCCTGCTCATGAGTGTCCTCAAAACCTCACTGCATGGGGAATGATGTCCCATTCCTCAGCTGCTGGGAGGCCACAGCTATGGAGGAACAGAGTGGGAATCCCTGAGCTCTCAAATCAAAGCCAGTTTGATGCACACAACTACATTAAAGGCAGCCCCACTGCAAACTTCCCACGACACAGGGATCCAGCACAAAGTACCTACTGATTACAGAGCTTATGGGACATGTATTTAGCAGACAATGCTATCAGCATACCAGTAGGCAAAGCTTTGATCTCTGAAGATTAAGGACACTAGTTTAATAAGTAATTATCTTTCCAAAAACTATTATCCACTTATTTCTTTGGCTGCTGTGATAAAGGGAAATCAGTGTGATGGAAACAACGCTGTCATGCAATCTGGAGCGTGGGATGGGTTGCCATTTAAGTTTGATGGGTCTGCCATTCACTTTTTTTTAAAATTTCTGGATGGCAGCCTCACCAAAATGAAGGCTGGGGTATGATAATAAATAGCAGTGAAGGAAGTTACGCCGCACCATGATTGTTCTGCAAATAGCCTGGAGCACCCTTTGGGCACCTACATGAACACAAACTGCATAAGAGGCTCAAAGTAGGAATTTTCTGAGCAGCACCCATGGACCTTGCTTTTCCCAGCATCAGTCACCACCTGCCTCTTCAGTCACTGGAGAGCTGAACTGGGCCTTGGCTCAGGCACAAGCTTTTCCTTCCAAAAAGCAACTGCACAAGACGGTGCTAAGAATGAGGGATAAATGATCTTTACTAAAGCCAGTAAATCTGAGAGAAGCTGCTTCTGTCTTTCACCAGAAATGCAGTTAATGAAATAGGATGCTAGGTCAGGATTTTCACAGCTGAAGCACCTCTTCCCCACTATCTCTGTGACCCCAAGCATACAAGGACTGGACAGTGCTCATTAGCTCTCTGCAGCCCAAGGAGGGGAGCTGCTATCACTGTAATTCCTCTACCTTCCAGCACCTCCCATGAATGCTAACCACACACAGTGTGAATGGAGCACCCTTTCATTTTTTGGGAAGGATGATCACTGCAGAGGGGTGCAGCATGTGGTACAGGCAAGCTCAGACAGCAACACCTCTACCCACAGGAGGCACGAGCAGTATAAACAGAGCACTGATAACCCAGACAACTGAGCCCAATACCCAAAAAATAAGCATGTAACATTTTTCTGGTTATCTACTCATGAATCTATTTTGTTCAAAGCTGAGCACAGCAGCCTGCTCCTCAGGTGACAAGCGATGGAGAATGTAGTGGAGGTTTTGGGTGAATCCCGGTTTTAGGGGGAGTCTCATGTCTGCGCCTTAAAGAACTGGGGTTTTTTTCCCAGGGTAACAAACGATGCCCGGGAAAATGAAATGGATGAGAACCTGGAGCAGGTCAGCGGCATCATTGGCAACTTACGTCACATGGCCTTGGACATGGGCAACGAGATCGACACACAGAACCGCCAGATTGACAGGATCATGGAGAAGGTAAGAGCTGCCTTTTCTGTGAGGACCCCAAGAGGGGCTCTGTTTCCCTTCTCCAAGGGGAGAAATGGGCCTGGAAAGGACAAGGGATAGAAATAGCTCCTCTCTTCTCCCTCCAAATCCTTGGGCCAAAGCAGAGCTCACTGCTGTGAATCTGCATCTCCAGTGCAGGCTGGGTTGAACCCTTGCTGTTGAGTTTGCCACACAGCTGCAAGGGGACCCGTTAGCAGACATCAAGGCTCCTTCTTCGATAGCTCTGAAAAAAGACAAGTGCCTTGAGCTATGCTGAACCTTGGGGTTTGGATCTGACTACCCTTGCACTTCCTGGAAAGTTTTAAATCCTCCTGGGCTTTTCCTTCCTCGGAAACTCCATGAGCAGCTCAGGATTCGATCACCTGCTTGGAGGACCAGTCCTCAAAGAAGGATGGGGATTTAATAAAATCCCAAATCTTTGCCATATAGTAGCAGTGCAGCCAGTTTTGTTGTGCTGCTAATAACAACATTAGGACAGAGATCTACCTGCTTTCTTGGAGGAGGGTGTGTGTGTATACATATATATACACATATATATATTTATACATAATTGGGCCCCACACAGCCCCAGTAGAATACAAAAGCTCAGCATTACCTCTGCAGAATCACCATGTAAAAAGGCAGAGAGCACTGTTCCAGTGCCAGACCTGCACTGCAGATTTCTGAAGCAGAGAGCAGCCCCCTCCAAGTCTGGCTGGGAGCTCACTGCCATCCTGAGATCCCAAGATCTGCAGGCCATCTGCATTGGTACTGGCAGAGCTCCAGGCACAGGCAGGCTGAAGTGACATAAGAGGCTAGATCTTCATCTGGTGTTAAACCAACACAATGCTCCGCTTCCGTTGAGATTTACACAACCTGAGGAGCTAACCCAAGGACTTACATGTGGTGCTTAGAGTTAATTCTGACCTCAAGTGGTAGAGCTGGTGCTTTTGAGCCTTCTTACACATGCACAGCTCCTCAAACAAGCAGGATGCCCATGCCTGTTTTTCGTGTCAGTTAACTGTATCAGAGCCTAGTAACAAAAATTAAGGGAAATACTGCACTGAGGGATTCACTCCAAGAGCTTTCCTTACTGGAGGCAGATTCCAGAGAGAACTGGGTGAAGTATACATTGTCTGAAGGCTGGGAAGATCATCCCTGACAGAGAGGCAGCCTCCTCGTGGCTTGGCGTTGGTCAAAAGTCTTGCTTTATAAATCTGCATGTGTTTGACTGTGCTGGAAAATGCACAGTATTACTGGGATGCCATTATGCACACAAAAATTTCATATTTCTGTGAAAAGGAGGAGCATCGAGGAAAGGATTTACTGCTGCTATTCATATGCAAAGAACTAGAAAGCAGCACATCACTCTATACTTTGAGAAGGGACAGGGAGTTTATACAGCCTACACCATAAGTACCTTTAACTAGGAAGCCTATGACATACATTATTTTCTCAAAGCAATGAGGACGTGCACTGTTGTGTTCTCCTCTCCCCTGCTCATGTCACAGTGGCAGAAGACGTGCCCTGTGTTTAGAAATCAGTGGCATCCTACCCGTGCCTGCAGGATCCTATCCCAACATACAGCAAGCCCAACAAGTTACTGTTCTCCTACCAGCTCAGGCTTGCAAACATCTGAATTTTGAAAACATTGACCAGGCCCTCTGTGCACATAAAGCACATGGGCCAAACCTCTAACAGTGCATGCTGAGAGCAGTGAGCTGAAGGACCAGCCTTCCACAGCTTTGTGGTCTTCTCACAGACTTTGGCATTTTGTACAGCAATGGCAAAATAACATTGGCAGCTAATGCATTCATAAAATCACCCAGGGCCCTTGGCTAAGGAACAGGGACACATTTGTGAGAGATAGATTTGCATCATACACAGAGGAGTCGTCATGAGAGCAGCACAAAAGTAAGACAGTCTTCAGTCTTAGTGAAAAATAAGCCAAATTTCTCAGAGTAAGGACATACAGTAATGAGGTACTAGAAAAAGGAACACAATGTGTTAGTAAAACCCTCTATAAAAGACAGAAATAATGGTCAGCTGGATAACAGTGAAACCTCAGTTGCATACACACCAGTCTGCAATGAAATATGGCAACAGACCCTCATCCCCCTCACAGCAGTGCCAGGGTTGTTTCCCTGACCAGCTGGAGCACTGTGCTTTGGGTCAGTTATGATCATTAGGAAGATCATAACTGTGGCCTTGGCTGGCACAGTTTGCAAAGTTGGGGTGCATCACAAAGCTAAGCCAAAGCACCCTGGGATGCATCATAAATGCTCCTAAAGGATTTATGTTATGCTGGATGCATGCACCCAAACCAGAGCAACCTCATAATGCAGCCATGTAATCTGATCTATCCACAGTAACCAGGACAGCAATGAATAAAAGGCTTTCTTTATCCTTTCCTCAGATCTGAGAGAAAGGGACAAAACCCAAAATGACAGTGTGATGAGTAGGTCAAATAGCACCATCACCAAAAGGGCTTGCCCCTAAAATCTACCATAAATAGGAGGCTGGGAGGAAAGTAGAGGGGTGTCAAATCACTCTGTCTTGACCTAAGTGGGAAGGTCAGCACAAAGAATCCCACTGCCTCCAATGCAACATCATCCACCAGACACAGGAGCACGATGTTTCATCACTGTTCAATGAATATTCACTCATTTCGTGACAAAGGCAACTGCTTCCAAGCCCATTAACTTTTTAGGTGGCCTTTTGGCTAAAGCACACAAAATTGTACTGTGGTAGACAAGGTCAAACTCATGGCTAAAAAAAAGGAGTGTGGCTTGTAATGAGTAGTTTTGCTGATTTATGCTTGTTGAGGATCTGGCACGTGCTACTGCACTAAGAATACACATAGCATTTTCCAAAACAATTACTGAGAAAAGCCAAGACATTTCAGAAAGATTTATTGCACATGAGCATAAACATTCTTAAAGGATTCTTAAATGCATGTGGGAAAGTTGCTTCACCATTCTGTCATTGTAAATTGAAGATTTAAAATAAATCCGTACAATTTGGATACACCCCAGAGATGTGGGAACAATCATCAAAGCTAACAAAATGCAGCCATCAAACCACAGAAAGAGTTTGCTATGGGAGCCTATGCTTTTAAAGCAGCAACACAATTCTCACCTTTCCCACAGGTCTGGTTTTAAAAATTGAAACCATTTTCTATCTAGTCCCTCTGCTAGAAAAAGTCGGCATGGCAACGTGGGGTTGAGTGGAGTTTTGCCAGTTTTTCTCAGCTAAAACAGTGTCTTTAGTCTCCAAAATGAACTTCTGCAGAGCTACAGAAAGTCACGGCCCAAGTGTCTTCCCACTCAGAGAGAACTCCCCAACCTCCCAGGTGGTGCCATTTTATTAATGGCATTTTGTAATCATGGCAGGTGTTACCCCAGGGAAAACAGTGCAGTTAATGGCTCAGTCTATGCTGGACTAAATTGCAGTTTGATTGCTTCAAATCACAGTAGAACCCCTGCCTTTTCTCAACTCCTGTTTATGCTGCTGCTCAATGAAAGAGGCTACTCTCTCTTGCAACCACATTGGTGAACTCTGGAGTACTGGCATTCCTCTCACCTATTCCCTTCCTTTCACATGCAGAGCAAAGATATCCAGGCTGATCTTTTCAAAGAAATGTATCTTTATCAGCATTCCCTACATCAGATGATCCAGCTTCTCTGCTCCGGGAGTCTCTACACCAACCAAAATTTTAATTTTGGCTAGTACCTGATGATCTGAGTTAGACCACAGTCTGGGTCCACTGAATCTCAGAGGACTCTGAAGGTTTTCCCCAGCAAAATGCAGATGCACACCACCAGTCCTCATGCTGTCATCCATTACCATCAGTACCACCAGTGCTATCGACAGCACCAGCTACAGATCTGGCACAGCATTTACAGGAGTTCAGTGCAGCTGACCACAAACAGAAAGCTCTGCTTGAAGGCTACATGAAGTAAAACTAGAAAATTTGTAATCTTCTTTTGGGTCCCTTGTACCACTATAAAGAGCAGTTCTCCAGTATTTTCAAGTTTCATTTTTCTGTGACCTAGCCAAAATCATGGAACTACCCACAAAGCGCTGTCATTCTTCCCGGTACTCTTTTTTTCTCTCATACTCTCTCTCTTCCCTGTACTCATCCCTCTCTTTCCTCTGTGTTTCCCCAGGCTGATTCCAACAAAACCAGGATTGATGAAGCCAACCAGCGTGCAACAAAGATGCTGGGCAGCGGTTAAATGCAGAGAAGTGCATTTCCTTTTAATGCTGTCCAGCAGGGCAGCACCTTCATGCTTTTATCATGGTATTTATCTACTAGGTTTGCACACATGCACATATCAGCCCCATTGTAAATGTTGTCCTGTGTAGTTTGTCAGCTTTCCAAAAATTATACTTGTAATTATTTTTTTCTAGATATCTTTCTTTCCAAAGGTTGTACATAGTGCTGATTTGATGGCTATAGCTCACTATGATGTTTTTTGGGGTTCTTCCTTTCCTTTCCTTGTTTCTGTTTTGGATTCCTTTCCTTTTTTTTCCCTTCTCATGTTTCTCTTTTTTTAATGATGTTTGCTGAATGACAACACTGTTGGAATGCTAAACGTGCTGTTAACCTTTAAATATACAGTATTGTTCTTGTAAAACTGTGACATTCCACAGAGCTACTGCCATGCTCCTGTCTTTGGGTATCATGATGTTTAAGCATTTAAACCTGCTGTCTTCAGTTCTTCATTGCCATTATCTGTTGTTATGATTTCATGATTAGACAATGTGAAATTATATTACTATAACAAGCATTGCACTAAAAAGTGATGTGATTTATGCAGTTATGCATGAGGAATAAATAGACTTTTAGACTCCTACTTAAACAAGAATTTTCCCATGGCAGTAGCACACCAACAATGAAAACAAAAGCATGCTCAGTATTCGGACTCTTTTGGGACTATGTTATACCAGCAAGTTTGCAGTTGTGCCACTTTTTTCTTGTTGATATATATATAGTTATTAATCATGATCATTTTTTTTAATTATGAAAAAAAGAGGGATTTGGCACTCACCATTTAGCCATTGCCAGCAAAATAAAAGCTTGGCTGAAAATATGTCAAAGACAAAAAGAAATAAGTGTAATATATTGGGTTTGTCTGCTGCTTTTGAAGACTATCTTTTGGAGGAAACAACTACCATATGAAATGGTGCAAAGAAATGTAATTTTTATAAGGCTCTCTCTTACTAGTCGCTATCCCCATGTGGTTTGTTATCAGTACAGTTCTCTGTTGCTTACCTAGAGCTATGCACACCAAATCGCTGAGATGTTTAGTAGCTGACAATTAAAAATAATTAAAAAACCTAAATGAATGAACTCTAGATAAACTGTGAGATAAATATCATTTACAGCATGTAATATGAAAATTCCTTATGTCTCCTGTCAGTTTGTGAAGTGATTGACATTTTGTAGCTAGTTTAAAGATTATTAAAAATTATAGATCTCAGAATCCATGCTTGCTTTATCCATTTGTTGCCCTACGTGTCAGTGACAACTTCTTATTTGCAAATCGCCTGGGAGAGGAAGTGCAAAGTCTAAAGACTCTTTACAAACTGCTTTTGTATTGTGTTTCATGGGAAACTAAAGATTTTGGTTTAAAAACCATAGAAAAGTAACTACATTAAAAATTACACTTGGTGCATTCCAAGTGACTGTTATTTTAAATAACCTAGCTTGGATTTCCAAACACTGAATCAAAATATTTTTCTCATGTTCAAGGGAAAGAAAAAAATGACATAAATGTTATGGTACAGAAGGATACAGTTCCTTAGTAGATAAAATTCCTGTAGTGGATTTAGTCATGTCCTAATACACCTCTTTTCAAGGAAGGCTTTGACCTACAGAATTTGGATAGTCTGCTAACAATAATTTTCTCAAATGACTAACAACAACTAGGGTTTGCTGCCAATGAAAAGCGTTATCATATTTTCCCAGGGTTTTTTCCCCTATATGGACAAATTAGAATTAATTCTGCATGAGTGACAGTTCACTCATGTATCTCACATGGCCGTAAGTCAAAATACACAAAGAACATAAATGCTTGCATAATTAAAATTGCATGATAATGCAGACAAGCTACATTTTCTTTAGCAGTTTTTTATTTTTGGTATCTATTAAAAATTCATTTATGCAAATATTTTCCCCCACTACTTCAAACCAAAGAATAAACTTCAAGCAAACACTTTTAATCTGCTGACCATTTCTAATCCTGTCTGTTGAAGCATTCCAGTATTTGTGACAGCACAATCATTCTGCAATGTCAAAGCCTACTGGGGGAGGGCAATAATCATATTGGAAAATGCCTCACAATGGGAACATGCAAATACAAGGATATTTGCAAAGGGTGAGAAATAGATAAAAAAGTAATGAAGATGTAAATGGAGGTATTATTTTTTGTATTTGACAAGAATGTACCCTATCGGAAGAGACTCATACTTCCAAAAGCCATTAAAGCTGATCAAAAATATAATTGTTGCTGTGAAGGAACATGTTTTGACATCTGTTTTCACGTGGAACAAAGATCAAAACCCAAACTACTGGAACTTTTTGCCAAATGGGAAGCTTAAAGGACAGAAACTTTGAAATGTTTCATTGCAGCTGTCTTTGTAATCTCTTCCACTGCATGCAGGGTCTTCTATGAGCTGGCTGAAAATTACTTCAGTAAATATGCTTATTGAATTTCTCTGATATTTTTGGAAATTGACTCTTCTAGGATTAATTATTCTTGAAAGAATGCAAGGAAAGGCTCGATCTCATGTAGCTTATGACTACAACACTCTGCTTTTGTTTGCTGAGTTTTGTGCACCCCTAACCCCTGGTGCAGAGGCTGACTCAACAGGAGGGAAACCCCAGATGTTTTAATTCCACTGCCTGGAATGTGGCATTTCCCTTTTTGTCCCCTTTCTCCCTCTGGTTGGCCCCTGGGTCCCTGATACACTGCAGCCTCTCGCTGAGGCTGAACCAGCACAGGGCAGAGTTACCTGCTTGAGGAAAGGGACATGACAAGGGGCTGGAATTACAACTCTCCTCGGATAAAATGCCATATTGAAAGGCACAAAGCTTGATAAACTATCTCTTATTTCTAGACTTTTAATGCCATTTCACCAATGGTTTCTAGAATGGCAAGATCCTCATGTTGGTGTTGGTTTGAGGTGGTCATAGGGAAAAGGGCTCTTAATAGTCTCAAGTGGCATAGCTGAATAAACCACTCAGTTGGATAAGCTGAATGAAAAGACAATGACTGTTGAGCTCTAAAAATCTATACTTAAGAACTTCTTTCACTTCATACATTCTCCTCCTTTCCTAGCCTAGGTGATAAATGACAATATAAAAACAACACCAAGGAAGGATATTTGAATGTTATTCCTCAACAGAATAAAATTCATAAGTAGTGTAATAACTCATGAAAAAAGAAAAAAAATACCTTCATCAAATATCTGACCTGATTTCAGCAGGGAGAAAGAAAATTTTAAAAGGTAAGTAAAAATCAAAGTGAGTCGCCTCTAAGAAACCTTAAAGCTTTTAGGATGTTAATGATCCCCAGCCCTAGCACAAATGCAGAGCTTTCAAACTCAAGAGTGTTACAGCTTTATGAAGTGACATCAATGCAAGAAAATAAACTGTGGATAATACTCAGCGTCTTGTGGTTTGACAGAGCACGTTATGAAAAATGAATGGATTTGATGCAAAGGTAAAGTGAAAAATAACTATTATTCTTGAAATTTTGGTGATGTACTATATATTAAAAAAACTATAACTAAAAAAAGTCAATATTGCTTGATTTTAATTTGTTTTCAGGAAATGTAAATTATATTAGCTTACATGGACAAAATACATCCTTCATTTCTGAAGAAAACTAAATATGCCAGAGTTAGCACAGCAAATGTAAAACACTCCCTGAGAGAGATGCCTGTGCCATGTGACACACTTATTATAGATATACTTTTAACCTAGAAATAGAGATGATAACTATTCTCCAAAATATTCTGTGTGCCAACACTAGCTGCTAACCTCCACAGGCTTTGGATCTGGACCTGGATGTGCAGAGATCACCAAAGACTTTTATTTAAGGGATCTGAACACAGATAAACTAATCCACACACTTTCTTCCCCCTCCTTCTTCCTTCTCCTGTGTACATGTGCACATATGACTTTTTTATTTTAAAGGCATTGGAAAGGGAAAAGATGAGTACTTGGTAATAAGGAAAATTATGTGTGTTAGAAACAGCTTAAGGATCTGCAAGGCTGCTGTGTGCGCCTGTGGGCGTAGGTGTGTAGGATGTGACTGCTGTCTGTTGAGCCATTTTGTTTGGAAGTTAGTGGAACCCAGAATATTTTTAAACCTGCAAACAGCTACAAGAAAATGCAGACAGAGGAGAGAAACCCTGCTGAGAAGTTAGGGCGTTGGGCTGGTTGGATGGGGTCAGGGGCAGGTCCCATATAATTTACTTTGCCAGTGTTGGATCCCTCTGTAACAGTATTAAGAGAGATTATGTTTGTGTTCTAAAATACCAAACAGTTTTGAATGTTATTTCACAAATACAAAATACCCTCTCCCCCTTTGAAAAAAGAAAACATCAAAAAAACCCCCAAAAAAATCAAACCAAACCCCACAAGATGGTGGTGAGGGAATTCAAAATAAACCATTATGTGGAACCATGCTGTTTCCCACACAGTTGGGATCTGTTCCAAGTTCACTGCTGCCCATGCTAATTCTGCTCATAATGGGTAACCAATTTGGTCAAGCAGTGGGCAGCAGATGGAGGGGGCTGCTTCTCCTGGTGTGCTTCCCAGCTCCTGGCTGGCTGGGAGAAGGGGCGGCTGTGGGACCAGGGCTCCCTCCCTGCTTTGCCAAAGCAGTGCTGTGGGCAGTGGTCCGTGGCTGGCTCCCGGCCTTGCACTGCCTTTGCTCCATGCTTCCCAACCACAGCTCCCTCCCCACCGCTCCTGCTCCAGTGCTCCCCACACCTCTGTTCTTCTCCTTGGCTTCTCTTGGCTCTGCCCAGCCCCTCCCGCTCCCCCAGCTCCCACCCAGCTGCTTGTTCCCTTCCTGTTCTTCTGGTGCTGAATCCACCCGCTGAATCCACTGCTGTCCCTCATTCCGCTCGCCTCTCATCCCTCTGCTTTCATGTTTTTTACCCCAGGGCTTTCAGGCTCTCTCCTCCATGATCTCAGCAGGAGAAGCTCCAGAGAAACAAACAGCCTCTGGCTTTTCACTCCACAGCTGAACACCACGCCAGTGTCACACTGGAGGACACCTGCGAGGCAGCCTTGGCTCAGCCCTGACAGTCCCAGAAGCCAGAAAATGAGTGCTGCCAGGGGAACTTTTTAGCTAGTCTGTCCAAAAATGTCTAAAAAGTTTCCACAGGCTGATGTAAACAAAGATGTTTGGGTATCTGAGGACAGACAGGCAAGCACTGGGAAGATATTTCACAGAAGGGCAAGAAATGAGAGCCCCTTCAGCTGCTAAATTTCACATCTCTGGTCTCCAGCACAAGTACTGAGTGCTTCTCCTTGAGACAGCTGGAGAATCTTTCCTAACAGAGGCAACACAGTTCACTTTCCCTTCTTCCACAAATTTCATTTGTAAAAGCTACAAAGACTACAGGTTTGGTTGATTTGTTTGTTTGTTTTCTTTAGGGTTTTTTTTTTGGTTGGTTGGTTTTGGGTTTTGCCTTTTTTTTTTTTTACTTTACTGAAGTATTTCAAATCTGGTTTTTTTAAAAGCAGGTAGAGGAAGTAGATTTCCCTCACTTCCACCTAGGATAACTATCCAGTTTGGGTTTATTTCAGCTAAATCCAGAACACCTCAAGTTGATATTAAAAAACCCCACTATATCAGAAATTATTTAGTAAACTTTGCTATAGGCAGTCCTAAATTAATTTGCTAAATGCTACCTTAAATACAGGAACTGTAAGTTCTACTTACAACACAGTAGGTCCTCCATCCAAATCCTGATCAAAATCTCATTAAAAAGGAACAAACCAGTTCATTTCCACTTTCATGAGGGGTTGATGCAGCTTCCAAAGCATGACCACGCACAAATCTCACTGTGCTAAGGGGATCTTTGAGCATCAAAACCAACTGGACACAAACTTGAGCAAAATGCTTGTAGGAAACATTACCTGTTCTAACTTGTACTGGATTTCCAGACTTCACCACATCAGCAATAATAAATCCAGCTGATGAGAGGACCCCAAAAGCCTGGGTTGCTTTAGAGTCAATTTATAAACTCCATGAAAATACATGCTGATAAGTTAATTTTGAAGAAACAGAAGCTATAATTCTGACATTTAGCCTTAAGCCTTTATCTTAAGCCATATTTTCAGTGCCCACCTCACATTTCTGTATCTTGGACAAAATTAGAATATGAGGACAAATTAATCAGGAACATAAAATTTAATGAACTGCTTCTTTTTTCAGGCAATCCCTACAGCCTAACCCTCAGA